GGTGCAGCAGGTGGCTGGAGCTTGGTCAGCATGGGGAGGGTTCATCAGGCTCACGGGGCCTGTAGGGTGCGACCCCACAGTCCCCAGTCAGCCCCCCATTTGTCTGTCTCACCCCCAGGCCAGCCAGGAGGCCGACAACGTGCTGATCCTCCAGGACCGGAAGCTGAGGTCGGGGCCGGGCAAGCGGTACTTGCAGGTGTCCAAGAACCGCTTCGATGGCGATGTGGGCATCTTCCCGCTGGACTTCAGCAAGACTTCCCTCACCTTCTCGGGCCTCACCAAGGGCAAGGCTAAGCTCAAGAAGGTTAAGGTCGAGAAAACAGAGGAGCTGGCCCCCGAGGAGCCGGCCCCCAAGGCGGCGGTGCCCAAGGAGCCGGCCCCCAAGGCGGCGGTGCCCAAGGAGCCGGCCCCCAAGGCGGCGGTGCCCAAGGCAACAGCGCCCAAAGCGAAAGCCCCCAAGGTGATTGCGCCCAAGGGCAGTGGGTTCTCCAAGGAGCCAGTGCCCAAGGGCAGTGGGTCCTCCAAGGACCCATGAGCCTGGCTTCTTGGGCATCATCCTTGCCTGAGCACCATGCCCATGCCGGCCTGTTCAAGCTGGAGTGGAGAGGAGTATTGCACCTGGTGTTGCGACTTCGTGCCAAGGCAGCCTATCACCAGGGCTCTGCTGTGTCTTGGGGCTGCGGCCTGGGCTCCTACAGATTGCAGCCCCCTTGGCTGTCAGGAGGAGAAGCCAGCCAGGACTGGGGTGCTTCCTAACAGAGCTGAGACTCAGAGTGTGGTGGGGGAGACCCATCGCTGATGCCCCCCCTGGAGCTGTGCCCCGGAGAACCACGTGCCAGATGTGGGGTTGGAGACGGGACGTTTCTCCCATTCCCCAGGACTTTGACTGAATGCTGACTGGGCTGCAAGCAGCTATTGGCGCGGGGGGGGGAACAGATCCATCCCCCCAGCAGCGCTGCTTTCCTGGTGTCCAGGTCAGCCTGGCGTGGGGGCATCTCTGCTCACTCCTTGCGGACGTGGTGTCACGAAGCTGCTGCCTTGTTGGGCACCTTCTCTCCCTGGCCTCCAGGAGGGGAAGAGCAGTGGGAGGCTGGGGGTGGGGAGCACTGGCAGGGCCGCCTTTGCGGGGTATGAATGCCTCTTCTCCTTCACACCTCAGGGCTGCCTCACCATGCCAGGCACCATCAGCTCGGGACCGGTTCCCAGGGGGTGCCCTCCGGAGCCTGTAGGCTCAGATGGTTATTACAAGAGTAACTGTGCCCTCCACCCTGGGGTGGTTTGGGAGCACCTGCAGACTGGGAGAGGAGGGAATTCACCAGCAATCCAGGAGGGGCGAATTCACCAGCAATCGGACACTGCCTGCCAGGGTCCATCCTTGCCCCGCATCCACAGATGGGGAAAGAGCCCCCAGCTGCTCAAGGGCAAGGGGCTTCTTTCTCCCCCAGCCGGAGACGGGGTTTGTGCAGCCATGTTACCAGGGCTGTGGGCAGTTGAGCTCTGGTGGGACTGCCTCTGCTGCTGCCCCCTGTCATCTGTCAGCTCCCCGTGCTCAGGAAAAACTGGCAAGGAAACCAAGTGCCTCTGTGTCTTGTTCTCAGAGGGGCGGGAGTGGTCCTGGGTTTCGCCCCACGGCCCGTAGTCATGGTGTGTTGTCACGGGGTTGCAGTACAGCCAGGACCAGCGCTGCGGGCACTCGGCTCCAGCCCAGGGTGCGGCCCTGGTCCCTGTTCCTTTGGTGTGATGGGCCTGGGGGGGAAGGGGACAAGCAGAGCTGGGAGGGGGTCCAGGAGCAGCTCCATCCCGGTGGGCCCAGGCAGGCATCACAGAGGCCCTGTCTGCAGGTCTGAGCTCCTCTTGGGTAGATCAGTAGCATGAAGAAGCAGCTTGAGTTTATGCCGTGCCCAGGGGAGAGAGGACCCAGAGCAGCAAGGCTGGGGGTGCCTGGCTTTGGAGTGGGTGACTGTTGCCTTTGTTCACAATTTCCTTTGATTTTTGGGGTTTGCGCCGAGTCCTTCCCACAGGCAGCAGCCCCAGGTGCCACCAAGCTGGGGGATGTAGTAGATACGCTGGAAGGTAGGGCTAGGATGCAGAGTGACCTGGACAAACTGGAGGGTTGGACCAAGAGAAATCTCAGGAGGTTCAACAAGGACAAGTGCAAAGTGCTGCACTGAGGAGGGAGCGATCCCCTGCACCGGTGCAGGCTGGGGGGGACGGGCTGGGCAGCAGCTCTGCAGAAAAGGACCTGGGGGGACAGGGGACACGAACCTGAACAGGAGCCAGCAGCGTGCCCTTGTCACCATAGATTCATAGATGTTAGGGTCGGAAGGGACCTCAATAGATCATCGAGTCCGACCCCCTGCATAGGCAGGAA